GTGCACTATATATTCTTCTGCCATGTTCTAAATAAATAATACCTTTCCACCTTTTAAGCAGGATATGTTGGATGCATAGTGAACGATCTGTATGTTACTAAGCGTACCAAATTTCACTGGAAGGACTTGAAGCATGTCATAAACTTTGTTGATAATCTGACAAAGATAGCACAACGTATGAATGCTGGATTTTGGATGGGATTAATTATACCTATGGTGCACACATTGAACAAGACCAATTGTGTGCACAAAATGCTGGTAAAAAGTCTTATTTTAATATTGATGCTCATAAACTATATATATCTTCAACGATATGTTACAACTGGTTTTTATTCTACATTTCAACCGAAACTGCCCGTCGTAGCAGTTCCTGGATCGATTTCCCGGCGTGGACAATTACACTTGTGCCTGCTAATAACACCAAAGTAATTGCAAGGTACTGCATTTCCCGCAAAAATGGAACCATTCAAATTAACAAGTTCTCGCTTGTCGTGGCAATGCATCCATATTGGAAAATTGGAGACACTGTTCTACTCATGCTCTACCAAGGCACAGGAGGGCTCTTCCTTTTCGTTGACAAGATGCTGAGTCGCCGTGATCAAGATGCTTCCAGTGGATAGTTGTGGTTGTTGGCCCTCGGCCTCTTAAAATGTGCTAGCTGTTACTATGTTAAGTATGTAGATATGGACCATATGGTTGTTGGCCCTTAGCCTCTTAAAATGTGATAGTTGTTACTATGTTAAGTATCCTCCTTTTGTCGAATAGTGTAACCACTATATATATATATATATATGTGTGTGTGTGTGTGTGTGTGTGTGTGTTACTCAAATGATGTTAGCCAAGTTCTTAAATTTTCATGGAAAGTATTAGTATCGTACACAGTTCATTGAGTTTAAGCGTGTGCCCAATGTCCAGAAGGCATTTGCATATTAACTGTCCATATTGCAAATTCAGACATGTGTTAACATAAGGAAACGTATGTGTAACTTACTAATCATCGCACACGAGTACTCGCAGACGCATCGTGTGCGATGCTCCTAGCCACCGTAAGTAACTAGTTTGCATTTTTCAAAGTTTTTTGTATACACAGAATTGCACATGAACTAACTGCATTAACCGTCTGTGTTGTAATTTCTCATCGCAAACAGTTCATCCGAGTCAGCTGTTTGCCATGTATCACACACATCTTATTTAGACACTCATCTTTTGGCTCATCGCAAATAGTTCATCCATGTGAACTGTATGCCGCATATCACACACATCTTGTTAAGTTGAACCGTTTCTGTTGTGTTCCCTAATCAAAAACAGTTCGTCCGAGTGAACTGTATGTCGTATATCACACACACCTTGATCTGGCTAACCATTTCTGTTGCACTCCCTAACAGCAAACAATTCATCAGAGTGAATGGTATGCTGTATATCGCACACACATTGATATGGCTGCCTGTTTCTGTTGTTCTGCCTCATCACAAACAATTCGAATGGATTAACCGTGTGCCCTGCATCGCACATGCAACTAAAATCTGAACCGTGTTTGATGGCTCTGCCATCGCAAACGTTTTGCACCTTTTGACGGGTTTTTTACACCACCGTTTGGGATTAATGCATCACACATAGTTTCGTCAAAGGGTCTCTGATCATAGTGTCGTGTTAGTAGTATCCTGCAGTAGTGTTTAGCTCCTCGTTGGGTTTGACACTCTTAGTTATCGAGAAAGGCTACAATTGATCCCCTATACTTGTGGATTATCAATGATTTATTCCCCTCGGAGCTCAAAGTGAAGATGGTGTAGTTTTATTTCGTTTTGGTTTTGGCGGACTTGAGTCATAGGAGATATTGTACTATCAAAATGGAGTTTGTATCAGAAAGGCTAGGGTGGAATCAACACGTACACATCTTTGTCGCACCCCCAGCTCCTTCCCTCATCCTTGGAGTATACTTGTTATTGTGGAAGTGCTATAAGGGAGGCGCCAGAGGTAGTACTACGTCCCTAGAGCGGCAGTACCGCTGAAAGCCATAAGCGGTAGTACCGCCCACGACCATAGGCGGTAGTACGGCTTTGGTTCTGTGCGAGTACCGCCTCGACTTGAGACCTGCATGTCTTGTGTCGGGTTCAGGGGCAGTAGCAGCAGTAGTACCGCCCTACTACCGCTACTAGTACCGCTCAATGGCCCTCCTCTTTGTTCCTTCTCCCTTAGGCGTTGTGCAAGGTCCCAATGGTAGTACCGCTGGGCCGGGCGGCAGTACCACTACGGCCAGCAGTAGTACCGCTCCCTAGAGCAGTAGTACCGCTTGCTGCGAGCTAAATAAGGGGATAACGGTTGGATTGTCCCCTCCCACTATATAAGGGGGTCTTCTTCCCCAAGAATACCTACCACTTTTCCCCCAAGCTCCATTGTTGCTCCAAAGCTCATTCTTGCCCGATCTCTCTCCCTAGCCAATCAAACTTGTTGATTTTCTAGGGTTTGGTTGAGAAGGCCCGGATCTACACTTCCACCAAGAGAAATTTGATTCCCCCCACTAATCCCTTGTGAATCTTGTTACTCTTGGGTGTTCGAGCACCCTAGACGGTTGAGGTCACCTCGGACCCACATTCCATTATGGTGAAGCTCCATGGTGTCGTTAGGAGCCTCCAATCAAGTTGTGGAGATTGCCCCAACCTTGTTTGTAAAGGTTCGGTTGCCGCTTTCAAGGGCACCACTAGTGGAATCACGGCATCTCGCATTGTGTGAGGGCATGAGGAGAATACGACGGCCCTAGTGGATTCTTGCGGAGCATTGTGCATCCACACCGCTCCAACGGAGACGTATTTCTCCCAAAAGGAAGGAACTTGGGTAACACATCCTCGTCTCCACCGGCTCCACTTGTGGTTATCTCTTCCCTTTACTTCGTGCAAGCTATTGTTGTGTTGTATCATTTGCTTGCACTTGTTGTCATTGTTTGCATCATATAGGTTGCTCACCTAGTTGCACATCTAGACAACCTATTTGTTGCTAAACCTAATTTGTTAAGAAAAGCTAAAAACTAGTAGTTGTCTATTCACCCCCCTCTAGTCAACCATATCGATCCTTTCACCAACCCTGGTGGGTTGGGCTTCACTATAGCCTAGTAAAGCCCAATGACACGGTATAGGTTTCTTTCTTTTTCTATTTTTGTTTTCTTTTACAACAACAACTTTATATTTTATTTAGCCATCAAATGACTTTTGTAACCACACACAAACACCACAGCAACTTTGTCCCGGGAAAAAAATTATTGAAAACGTATCACGGTAACTCATTGTAAATAGCATGATAATATACATACATAACAGGTGATAACTTACTTAGATTAGGTCTGGTAAATAAAAGCATGCACTAGAGAAAGCTTGGAATACAATTATTCGTGCCCGATAATTTCTATGAAAACAACTTGATAACTTATGTGTCACAAATGCGATAAGTTACGTATAGCAGGCCTGACAACTTTTTATACAAAAAAATCATTGAAACAATACCAACATGGGATTTAGTTTCGAAGGTCATATCATGGCGAATTGTTTATGTGAAAACAAATTTTCAATTAGACCAAATATTTGAGCTACAAAACAGCTTGGTAACTTAGGTGTTACAAACATGTTAACTTATGTAGCCTATGCCTGTTAACTTTTTATCTAAATTTTTTTGTCGTAACATATTAACATTGAATCTAGTTTTGAAAATCTCGCAGTGGTAATTTTTTAATGTGAAAACAGTTTTTTAACTGGACCGACGGTTTGAGCTAGAAAACATTTTAAGTTTCGCAATAGAAAGAATCTGTCGCTGACATACTCTGTTTGGTCTTGTAGTTTGCATGCATGCAAGAAATCACAAATAAATGTCAGCATGTCTTTCACCCCGAGAACATGATTAAGAATTAACAAAAAAAGAATTAGATGAGTGATTAGTACTCCCTTCGTCTCGTAATGTATGACCATTCTAGCAATAGTGTAGTGTAGTGTCAAAAAACGACTTACATTATGAAACGAAAGGAGTAGTTAGAAAGGAAGAGAAAGTGGGATCCATAGAAAGAGAAAAGGATAGGGCCAATTCCAGTTCTGCCCTTAATTCGAACCCACTACTCAGTTTTGCCCCTATATTTTAGGTATGCTCAGTTTTGCCCCTCCACCGTTAGTGTCACTTATAGAAATACTCTTTTGCGTCGTTACTGTCTGGTCAAAGGACTTTGACCATCAAAAAGAATAGCAAAAAAATTCAAAAAATCCAAAATTTTGTGGGATCGAAGATAGTCATGTCCGCAAGGCGCGTGCAAATTTTTGTGCCGTTCGGACACCCTGGGAGCTCGTGGCAAAGGAAATCATAAATTTTGTACGCATGTGAACAGTAAATTCGAAAAAATATAAAAAAAAATCAAAAAATATGAAATTTTGTGGGACTGAAGATACTTAGGTGCACATTTTTGTTGTGTTTGGGCATCGTAAGAGTTGTCCGAATGGCACAAAAATTTGCACGCGCCTTGCGGACATGACTATCTTCGATCCCACAAAATTTCAGATTTTTTTGATTTTTTTTGCTATTTTTTCTGGATGGTCAAAGTCCTTTGACCAGATGGTAACAGCGCAAAAGGGCATTTCTATAAGTGACACTAACGGCGGAGGGGCAAAACTGAGCATACCTAAAAATTAGGGGCAAAACTGAGTAGTGGGTTCGAGTTAAGGGAAATGTACCATCAAAAATAGAAAAAAGGAAAATGATAACCCGAGTTAGCACAGTCCTAAAATTAAAAGTGAATAGAAAAAAGAAGAAACGAAAGAGAAAAGAGGAAAATGATAACCCGAGTTGGGCTGGCCCAAGACGCGCGTTGGGCTGCGCATTACGTCGACAGTTTGTTTTGAAGCAACCAACGGGCGGCCTCGAGCACGAGAGCAGAGGCCTTAACCCAACACGGCCCACGAACCGAGCGACCCCATCCGCACAATAATCTCGCGACCACGCGACGCACTCTCGCCCTCGCACGCGCCGGAATGGCGTCCACGCTCGCACCTCCTCGGCGGCATCACCCCCCACCGCCGTCGACCCGGACCAGCCCCGGCCGCCTCCTCCACCTCTCGCGCTCCGCTGTTCCTGCTCGCCGTGTTCAGCTCGGGCGGGCCTCGACGGTGTCCCCTCGCGCCTTCTTCGGCCGCGCCGACCTCGACGGCCTTCTGCAGCGCGCTTGGCGGGGCGCCAACGCGGGGGCCGAGCGCCTCTCCTTCGAGGCGCGACAGGCCGCGCAGCGCCTGGACGGGAGGTACTCGATCTCGCGCCGCGTGGCCGAGGCCGCGCGCGCGGCGCGGGAACGAGCCGCTGAGATCGACGCGGAGCTCGGCGTCGGCCGGCGATGGCGGTCCTTCTCCGTCGACTTCTCCCGCAGCTGGCCTAGAGTACAGATGCTCTCCACCATGCTATGACCTATTAGCGCCTAGCTGCTGGCTCAATTTATGGCTAATTTGTGCTTTTGGTGTGCAGTATCGGAGGGAGCTGAGTGACTTCCTGGCGACTCCTATCGGGAGAGCCTTGTCTGTGAGTTCACTGGCAGCTTGAAATCAGTCGATTATCCTGCGTACTCATTCACATACTTGCGTAGATCATCACCGTTTGGATTTTGCTAGTGATATGTAAGCATGTTTTGCATCAATCAGATAGACCTATTGAGCTATACTAGTTTGTTCCTAAGTCCTGACCTAGTTTAGGAATAGTGGGTGAGTTGTTAGCTGGGGCTAATTTTGCAGAAAGAATTTGTTGTTTGCAGTCAAGGTCAATTGGTTTACAGGCTTGAGGTGGTGTCTGACTGATTGTTGTGGTTACTTAGGTAGACCGTGAGTTAGTGTAGACAGGTTCCCAGTAGTTGATTGTTTCTCAGGTCTGATGCTTGTGCTTAGATTTCTAACACTAAGTTAACCATAGCATGATCATAAAATATCGAGGAGGCTGGGAATGCTAGTGTGAAATAGCCACTTGAAGATCGCTGCTGTTGATATCATTTGTGTATGTAGGAACAAGAACATATGAAAAGAAGTGAGAGTTATCACCCATGCATTCACAATTCATTTCTCTTGCTACATTTTTAATAATTGGGGAAACAATCTTTGCAAAATTTACCCATATACGGAGTTTTATTAGATACACCTTTACTAAAGCTGTCTCGGTTGTGCCTTCTTATATTTTTTAGGATCCAAACTGTATGAATAGTTCTAACTTTAAGCACCTTCTCATACCCAAAATTTTCTACTTCAATATTATGCTCCGAAAATAATATTCCATATTTGGATGCAGACACTTACTTTCGTGTGGCTTGCACTGTCGGGGTGGCTCTTCAGAATTTTCATTTTCAGTACATTCGTGCTACCATTTGCAGCCCCTCTTCTCCTTGGGACCTTTGCTAACAGGGTTGCTATTGAGGTAAATGGCCATCTTTCTAAATTTAGTATTTCGTCCTCCACTTATTTAAATCACTTCAAAGGTAGTCTGCAGCAGTCCCTATGTGACTGGGTGTGGCTGACTGGCTGTTGTTGCTTTATACGTATGATTTTCGTATTAATTGTTAGAACCTAAGCATTTTGTTCAATCCCTTTGAGCGTTTGTCTGTACAACGAAGCATTTCATCAGTTTAGACTTGGATCTATAGTTTTATCTCACATCAGTGACTCGAATGTGGTCACCCTTGCATTGTAGACGAGTAGTTCAACCAAGATGCAAATACGGTTGCTCTTTTTTTATGCAGCATACCACTTTAGCAGGCCGATCCTCATACGTGCATAACATTTGGGTTTATCATGTGTTATTTCTGGATGGTTGAAGGAATCCTCTGCAGCATCGCTGCTCGTCAATTTGTTCTTCTGCAGTAATCGGCTATAATACCACTGACCTGGTAAGTTTTACTTCCAGGGATCGTGCCCAGCATGTAAAAGGCGGTTCGTGGGCTACCGCAACCAGGTGATCCGGTGCATGAATTGCCAAAACATTGTGTGGCAGCCAAACAGCAGGTCCTCGGGAGGCGGTGGCGGTGGTGGTTCAAGAAGCTCAGGGCCTGATTACATCGACGTGGAGTTCGAGGAAAAGTGATGAACGCGCTGTTCTTGCACTTTACACGGGCTAATCAGCGTGGTGGAGAGGGAATGGGAAGACCGTGTGCTCAGGCTGCGATTGGTGAGCCGGTTTGCATATGCGGTTGTGTTCGTTAGGTGTGTTGTTGTACATTATATGTGCCTGTTATTACAGATGGGCTGGCATGCGCAAACTCACTTCTGGCCTATGCAGTACTTGTTACATTTTGTGAGTGCAGTAGGGAGACTGTAATTTGTAGAGCATGCAAATGCCACTTCAGTAATGAATCTTGGAAGCAAAAAAATAAATAAAACCCGTGCACATCTATCATAAAAAAAAATCATGATGGGTTCAGCTGAGTCCATCATCTTGGAAGTGAATGAAACCCTTGCTCGCCAAACATGAGATTGTTCATCCGGTCGATGCGGATGTCCGCGATGGGCTCGATGGCTTGATCCGCTCCCGTCCGCAGGGAAGACGACGCCGGCTCCCGGGCGTGCTCATCTGAGAATGGATCGGGGGATCGTCAGCCACAGGGTTTCTGAAGATGTGAAATGACCATAGCGGAACGAATTGTGTTCCCTTTTTTTGGACAGGAAGATGTTGATTCTCACCGGAGATGGTGTTGAAGCAAGCCGGCGGAGGAGCGAGGAGGAAGTTGGACGCGACGTACAGGACCAAGCCCTGCGCCACGGCCACCGCCACGAACGCCGGAACGGCCACCGCCACGAACGCCGGAACGGCCACCGCCCAGCGCCTGAGAAGACAGCAGCAGCACAGATGACAGTCAGCACGCGACTCGTTTATTGCGAGGAAGAAACAGCTGCAGTGGCGGCGGATACTTGTTGGGGTAGTAGGTCGCGCCGATGTGGCAGAGCCACGGCTCCGGCGCGTACGCCCACGCGATGTACGCGAGCGCGGTGGCGGACGCGGCGATGGACCCCACGAAGCCGTACGCCTCCGAGTGCGATGGTTTGTTGGTGCTCACGCTGTGTGGAGACTGAAAAAACAGAGGATCCGGGTCGGAGGAAGCCCGCGTCAGCAAGACGGCCCATTTTGAGAGGCCGCCAGCCGGATCTGCCTTATTCATTCCGGCCGACTAGAGACAAGTCAAACAAGTACACGGCCGAACGATATGAAATGGTGAGGTAACCCCTTATACAATACCGATCTCGAGATAACCAGATCATGCGGGCGCACGCGACTATGCTACCGAAAGAGAGCACAAGAAGGACCGAATATAACGTCATGCTACACCCTATAACACCTAAGATCCACAACAACGCCTTATAAGGGACAACATCGTGTAGCGTCGCCGCTGACGAGTCCAATGGACAAAGGGTTTCACCTGGATCCTATACACGGGGAGGAGCACCACGATGACGTCTTCAAGTCTTGAAGAAGAGAGCGGCGATCCCAAGATAATCGGCACATCTATCTAGTCCTTCTGAAGCTAAACAACGCTATCTTCCCCTCTCGTTAGGGCTCTTTTCCTCTCAACGGCGATCTTCGCCACCATAGAGAATTCTTCCCCTCCCATCTGATTCCTCCAACTGAACCAATTCAAACTAAACAAGGGACGATCCTGGATTGTTCCGGGTCTTCGTTGGTGTATTTTGGGGACGGAGGGGGTTAGGGTTTCTGCAGGAGCCTGGTAGGTCGAATCTTTCGGATTAGGGAAGGTGATATATGAGAAGTCTTCAAGCTCGAAGCGAGCGAGGTAGAGGCCATGATGAAGAGGTTAGGTTGTCCAATTGGTGTATTTGGATGTGGGGTGTTTGTGCACGTTTATAAGGAACGTGGCAATGGACTTCATCCTCTGTCAGCGCTCATATTCAAGAATATGTGGGTTTATTGGATCTTCGGACCTGAAGGAAGAGCTTCAGGTGGAGGTGAAGGTGGTTTTTCCCGAGGTGGTGGTCGGGCTGGTCGTCAAGGCTGCTCAGATAATGATATTGATTACTATGATAATGAAGTTTATGAAGAGGAAGAGGAAGAAGTTGATGCTGATATGGTTGATGGTGATGGTAACCGGAGAGGGGAGATGAGGTTAAGATGATCTGGGTATGTCCATTGGGAAGGGCACACAACTAGACCTTGCACCGGCAGGTGCGCTAACCATACCAGCGAGCCCCCCTCTGAAGCAACCTCCAAAGAGATCAAATGCAAAGAACAATACCATATAACTCATATAAGGCGGGTGTGGGAGTCCTGGACTGGGGGGGGGGGTCCTCGGGCGTCCGGTCTGTTAATGTGGGCCGGACTAATGGGCCGTCAAGATACAAGACAGAAGATTATCTCTCGTGTCCGGTAGGGACTCCCGTATGTGTGGATGGCAAGTATAGGTGTCCGGATATCTTATTCCTTTCTGTAAAACCGACTTTGTACAACTCTAAGCCCCCCGGTGTCTATATAAACCAGAGGATAGATCGGAGGCGGGACCACAACATTGCTAGGCTAGCTATCTAGGGTTAGCCGAATCGATCTCGAGGTAGATCAACTCTTGTAACCCCTATACCCTCGAATATAATCAAGCAGGAGTAGGGTTTTACCTCCATTAAGAGGGCCCGAACCTGGGTAAACATTGTGTCCTTTCTCCATAGTACCATTGATCCTCAGACGTACAACTTGGGCCCCCCTACCCGAGATCTGCCGGTTTTGACACCGACATTGGTGCTTTCATTAAGAGCTCCGCTGTATCGTTGACAGAAGGATCGATGGCCTACCTCTCCATCAATAATGATGTTGCATCCAAGGAAATTTTTATTCCTGCGCAGGTCTTCGTGTTCGGTGGCTTCGTGCTTCGTGCCAACTCGATCGGCCGCCTTGAGCAGGTCGATAGTTACGTCCCCGGCCACCAGATCAGGTTTGGAAACCTGAACTATGTTGCTGACATCCGAGGAGACCTAGTCTTCGACGGGTTCGCGGCTTCGGCCGCCACTCTGTGTCCCCGCCGAGAAGACTCTTTGGATCCCCTGTCAGACCCCGTTCAGGGCTCGACACCCACACCCACCTTGGCCTTAGATCCGGGGCAGGTCTTGCCATCCGAAGACGGGAGCATGAGCCCCGCTGGACTTTTTCCCCTTGTGGAACTCCCGACCGAAGACCCATATGCGATCTTAGATTCGGCTCTGGGCAGTCATCCCGAACTGCCGAGGTACGCACTCAGTGGGTTCGATTAGGTGTCCTATGCCGAACTCAGCCCAGCTGATCCGCAGTTCTCGGTCCCACTTTTGCTCCTAGATGAAGCATTGGACTTAATGCAGTCTCTCGCCATCACGGAGGCATTGCCTCCGAACTGTACCCAGCTAGGGCTGGGGGCTGAGAATGGGGAATTTTGTGTTGGAAATATGCCCTAAAGGCAATAATAAAATGGTTATTATTATAATTCCTTGTTCATGATAATTGTCTGTTGTTCATGTTGTAATTGTATTAACCGGAAACCGTAATACATGTGTGAATACATAGACCGTAATATGTCCCTAGTAAGCCTCTAGTTGAATAGCTCATTGATCAATAGATGGTTGTGCTTTCCTGACCATGTACATTGGATGTCGTTGATAACGGGATCACATCATTAGGAGAATGATGTGATGGACAAGACCCAATCCTAAGCATAGCACAAGATCGTGTAGTTCGTTTGCTAAGAGCTTTTCTAATGTCAAGTATCATTTCCTTAGACCATGAGATTGTGCAACTCCCAGATACCGTAGGAATGCTTTGGGTGTACCAAACATCACAACATAACTGGGTGGCTATAAAGGTGCACTACAGGTATCTCTGAAAGTGTCTGTTGGGTTGGCACAAATTGAGACTGGGATTTGTCACTCCGTATGACGGAGAGGTATCTATGGGCCCACTCGGTAATGCATCATCATAATGAGCTCAATGTGACTAAGGAGTTAGTCACGGTATCATGCGTTACGGAATGAGTAAAGAGACTTGCTGGTAATGAGATTGAACGAGGTATGGGGATACCGACGATCGAATCTCGGGCAAGTAACATACCGGTGGACAAAGGGAATTGTATACGGGATTGATTGAATCCCAGACATCGTGGTTCATTCGATGAGATCATCATGGAACATGTGGGAGCCAACATGGGTATCCAGATCCCGCTGTTGGTTATTGGCCGGAGAGATGTCTCGGTCATGTCTGCATGGTTCCCGAACCCGTAGGGTCTACACACTTAAGGTTCGGTGACGCTAGAGTTGTTATGGGAAATTGTATGTGGTTACCGAAGGTTGTTCGGAGTCCCGAATGAGATCCCGGACGTCATGAGGAGTTTCGGAATGGTCTGGAGGTAAAGTTTATATATGGGAAGTCCAATTTCAGTCAACATAATGGTTTCGGGGGTTATCAGTATTGTACCGGTTCCACCGAAAGGTGTCCGGGGGTCCATCGGGTGGGGCACTTGCCCTGGGGGACTTAATGGGCTGAACAAAGGTGGGAACCAGCCCCCTAGTGGGCTGGTGCACCCCCCAAGGGCCCAAGGCGCATAGGATTGGAAACCCTAGGGGGTGGGGGTGCCTTCCACCAAACTTGGGGGGCAAGTCCCCCCCTTGGTCGCCGCCCCCTTGTAGATGGGATCTAAGGGGGCCGGCCCCCTCTCCCCTTCCCCTATAAATAGTGGGGGGTGGGAGGGCTTCCATACCCTTCCCCTAGCGCAGCCCCTCCCTCCTCCAACACCTCCTCCTCCTTCGTAGAGCTTGGTGAAGCCCTGCAGGAAAACCGCAAGCTCCACCACCACGCCGTCGTGCTGCCGGAGCTCTCCCTCAACTTCTCCTCTCCCCTTGCTGGATCAAGAAGGAGGAGACGTCCCCGGGCTGTACGTGTGTTGAACGCGGAGGCGTCTTCCATTCGGCGCTAGATCAGATCTTCCGCGATTTGAATCGCCGTGAGTACGACTCCATCAACCGTGTTCTTGTAATGCTTCCACTTAGCGATCTTCAAGGGTATGAAGATGCACTCCCTCTCTTTCTCGTTGCTAGTATCTCCTAGATTGATCTTGGTGACAC